GACTATTCAAAATTCATGTTTCAATCATCCTAGGTCTAGAAATCACCGATTTTGGTATTATCAATATTTCGATTCTTACAAAATCCGGGAAGAACGTATTCCTTCTCGTCAAGCTATGTTAGCTATCGATTTTAAATATCTTCCCATTTTACAAGAATGGAAATTTGATAAACTATTTGATCTTGAACCCATCGTTTACCATCAACTTGTTCGTATATTCTACTCTAATGTCGTATGTGTTAAAAACCAAGCTGAAACCGAAACCATAGGAATTCGTTCCTACCTTCTAGGACAATTCTTATATATTGACCCGGCATAGCCAATACATTTGGATTAGATAATGATGGTATTTCGAATGAAAAACAAATTTTAGGTTCTCGTTATAAAAGAAGAGATAGTGCGAGTGTCTTAGACCTACATGAGCGTTTTCTTCATCTAATGATTTCTTGGTGGTTTCGACCATCCGGAGGTCGTTATTCTACTCTTAGAGCTTTGGATCTTTGGTGGTTACATTGTTTCGAAAACCGTATTAAAATTAATCTACCTCAGATTATTTTTGCTGAAATTGTTGAAACCGTAAATCTTGTTCCTAACAAGAAACACTATTCATCTCTAGTTTACGGTTGCTTTTTGAGTAATCTGTTTTCCAAAGCTGGGCTTAGAGTCGGTCTAGATGTCGTTTTTCCTCTTAAGAAACAAATAAATCTTCTTACCTTAACGAGAGCGGGATGGGTAAAGGACAAAGAAACCGGTGAATGGGTTCGATCTTCTACTCCGGGAGCTAGTTCTTCACAAGCTCCACCCGAAGCTGACGAAGATCCCGAGCTCGAGCAATTAATGCAAGATATCGATGAAGCCGAAGATGAGCCTGATCAGCCCGAAGAGCAGCCCGAGGAGCAAGCACAACAAACGCATCAAATGCCGCCATATTTTTAATCCTTTATGGAGACATTCGATTTCCGATACGCTACCATGGACTCGCGCTTTTCCTCTATAGAGTCTCATTTATCCACATTGGGAGCTCAACAATTAGAGATTCTTCGGGAGATGCGTGCAAACAATGAATCAACCAACGCTCGTATCAATGAACTAACTCATGAAATGGCTGCTATGCGAGCCCGTTTTCCTCCTACCGATCCGGATGCTTGATTTTATGTTTAGCTTTAAAACTTTGAACAAAATGAATATTGTTTCAACATTTTGAATTGTTTGATTTTGTGGATTGTTGGATTTTGGATTTATGGATAGTGTGAACTTATATGTTTGGTGTGTTTTATTCGTTTTTGCATCATTTACATCATCATTAGCAATATGACCAATTTTGCCATATCACATTATTTATGAATATTGATTTATGAAACTAATGGCTAATCTCTTTTGATTGTGATCTTAGCAGCTAAAGCTTATAATTAATAAATCAATTGGCTAAATGATTTCAAAACCTTGTTTACAATGTCTTTTTGATTTAACAAAAAGGGGGAGAAGAATAAGTGTTAATTTTACAAGATAAATTGAAGGAAGTGTTAAAGTAAGAGTGTTAAGTAAGGGGGAGTAATTTCAAAACTTGATTTCAAAAATCTTAAATTATTAAAATGTTTTGTTATATCAAAAAGGGGGAGATTGTTGAAACATTTTGATATTTCGATATAACAAATTAAGTTAAATGGATTTTAAGATTTTCCAAATGATTTTCTAAGTATATTCGATATAACTATTCGAATATCAAAACATTACTCCAAATATTTCAAAAATCATTTTAATCCTTACTTAAGTGTAAAATTAAGTTTAATCATAAAACAATTTCAAAATAATTTTACAAAGTATTTCGAACCAATTCAAAGCCAAAAATTCCAGATTGCTCAGAGGGAACCGATTCCCCCCATAGGAGGAACCGATTCCCCCTGAATGGTTTGGCTCCGAGATTTCCAGAATGCTCGGAGGGAACCGATTCCCCCCAAGGGGGTACCGATTCCCCCCTGTTCAACGTCGAAATATTTGAATTTTACACTTAGGAAACCGATTCCCTATGAGAGGGAACCGATTCCCCCCCACGCTCCAAGCTATTTTATTAAATGTTTTCACACTAAAACGGCTATAATCTTCTCTAATTATCCCCAACGTTCAGAAGTGATCCAAGGTGTATTTAAGCAAGCTTAGAAGCCATTGATCAAAAACAAGAAACATCAAGCAACTAGAATCAAGAGAGAATCAAAGAGAAAGCATCAAACCTCAAGTTTGAGCATTTCAAGCCTATTTTCATTCAATATTCATTTTCCTTTCAAGAACACTTTTTGTGCTCAATTGTATTCATCTTTGAGTGTTCTTTTCTTTGTTCTAGAATTGTGCAAACATCTTACCTTGTGAGGTTTTCTTGTAAGTTTGCAAATTTGTAATCTTCTCTTTGAGAAAAGAGTGTTCTCAAGAGTTGGGGTATACTCTTGAGGGAATTGTAAGGTTATCTCTTTGGCCTCAAAAGAAAGAACAAATTAGTGAATTTGTTGGAAAATCCTTAGTGTGGATAGCTAAGGTAGTGGACGTAGACTTTGTTTGAGAAAGTCGAACCACTGTAAATCGCTGTGCAATTACTTTCAATTTTCTGCAAAAGCTTCCACAAAATTTTTATTGCCAATTCACCCCCCTTTTGGCCAATTTCGTCATTCGATTAACTCAACAAAACCCAAGTGTTGTTTCAGTATCTTTGTACCACCTATCAGCAGAAAGTATTAATGCTAATAACTTCCATCCTCTTCCCGAGTTTTCAGCCACCATGCTAGAATATTTCATTGCGTCGTCAAAGACCACATCTAAATTCCTCTGAACTGTATTTTCCAAACTGAGGTTAAGCATCACTTCAGGGTCTTCCTTCATGTTGAGGGAAGCATAGTTAAAAGAGGTCAAGGATTTTTTCTAGAAGAGAGCTCTTTCATAATCTGATATGGAAGTTCTAGCAGCATTCCTATTAGCATATAAGGGTTGAGTGTCAGTGAAGTTAGTATCAGCTGAGCTAAGCTGGTGTGCATCGTGTGAGGTTGTTGAGTGTGTGTGTGAACGGTAATGGTTTGTTATGAAACTGTTACAAGTTGTTGTGGTTAGTTAGTAAACAAGTTGTATAAATAGGCATAAAGCCCTCACTGTTATGAATGAATAGAAGAACTCATTTTGCTTTCAATTGCTAAGCTAGCTGTTGGAAAAAACAAATATGCTTCAAGCATCCTCGACTTGCACACCTATGGTAGTGGCTATGAAAAATTCAGCGAAAGGAAGTGCGTTGTTAGCTAATGCACGTGAATGTCGAAGTGTGGTTGGTGCTTTGTTATATGTCTGCCATACTAGACCTGACATTGTCTTTGCTGTTAATAAGGTGGCGCAGTTCATGTAATCACCTTGTGAAGAACATTTCGTTGCTGTTAAGCACATTTTACGTTATCTTGCTGGTACATTGGATTATGGCTTAGTCTTCTCAGCTGATGATACTAAGTTATGTGTAAGAGCCTTTTCTGATGCTGATTGGGCATGTGATACAAGAGATAGGCGTTCGATGACTGGCTATGGAGTGTTTCTTGGTAACAGCTTGGTTACTTGGGCGTCTAAGAAGCAAAAATTGGTGGCACGCTCCACGATGGAAGCTGAGTATCGAAGCATTACAGAAGCTGCTGCAGAGGTAACTTGGATTGATGCTTTGTTAAGTGATCTAGGGCTGCATTCACTCGATACTCCTATTATTTGGTGTGATAACACAAGTGCGATAGCAATGACTGCCAATCCAGTGTATCATGCGAAGTCAAAGCATGTTGATATTGACATTCATTTTGTCTAAGAGAAGGTTGCAGCTGGTAAACTGAGGGTGAGTTATGTTCCTGCTGGTTTTCAACTTGCTGATGGATTTACCAAGCCTTTGGCTAAGGCGTCGTTTCATGCTTTTCGAGATAAAATTCATGTTCAACAATGTTGAATAAAGAAGAAGAAAAAAGGAGAAGAAGAAAGACAGGAGAATATTAGCATATAAGGGTTGAGTGTCAGTGAAGTTAGTATCAGCTGAGCTGAGCTGGTGTGCATCGTGTGAGGTTGTTGAGTGTGTGTGCGAACGGTAGTGGTTTGCTTCGGAATTGATCACATTACGAGCAAAAGTTATTCCATAATGAGCATGCTTTGGATCTTGAGAACATATATAAGCATCAAATAGTAAAGCAGGGATATGAGGTTCGTGCTTTGCTTCGGACAGGCTGGAAACCTTCTTTAACAATTCAATGCCACCTCATTCTGGCTAGCAGCAGCATAACTAAGAGCAAGAAAATAACACCTCTCAGCTCTTTCATAAATGCCCGGAGGGGCCTGCTCCTCATGTTCTGCTAATGTTTCGAACTGCTCAGTAACTGAGAGAGCAAAAGTGAGACGATCCATAATTTCTGCATCCCACTTTATTTCTCCAAATGCCACTTTTTGCATAAATGCTAGAAGGATAAGAATTGCTTCCTCTGTATTACTATTCAGGGTAGTTGAGCCCCATACATGTAAGTGAGGTGGGAGGCTTGTTTCAACACCGCCATAAAGTAGTGTGGCAGCCAAGTCCTTTGTACGCTTGCTAACCTCTGAGGATCCAAATTCCATGGCTTGACTAAAGCCCCATTATATGCAGTTATAGCTTCATCGAGACAGCCAACCTTAATTAATCCATAGATTAGGGAACAATTCCAATGCTTTGTGAAATATTTCTTGTAGCTTGCAATCTTCAGCAATTCCCTAATGCATTCCATTGGGCAGTGCCGCCTCAACCACGTCTAAAATTAATTTACAATCTTTGCAGCCTCTGATAAATGTAAAAAACAAAGCATCAAAACCATTTAAAGCTTACATTCTAACAACACTCGTGAATAAATCTAAACCATCCACCAACAAGGGCAATGCCGTTTATAAAATCCTTGATCTTCAACGACTAAAATTGAACCGTCCATAAACTCAGTAAATGCAATCGAAACTAAACTAACACATTTCTCATTATAAGATCAGTACTTTCTAAGAACTAAGCAACCCCACACAACCATTTCTTGTCTATTGTGAAGCAAACCAATTATGTAAGTTCCTAGTAGTGATAAATTGGAAATACCTCTAATATGCCCAATCCTCTAACGATTTTGCTTTCAATAAAATGGCTTCCAAAAGTAAGTTCACTGAATGCATTGACATCACACAAGGAGGGATAATGACACCTTTGGACCGTGGTTTTCATTGCCGAGTTCTCTCAACAATAGCCATAGTCATCCTTGGTTTCAAACTTTTGATCTCAATACCCTGAAAAACCTGAAGCGCAGCATCGAAATTCCATCCTCGATACTCTAGCCTCCCCAACAGCGCCCTTGCTTCCTGAAAAACTCATTCAAAAAACAAAACAAATTAGCTTGGAAGAACAGATTGATTTGGCGAATATAAGCTCTTGCCCACCTCATAGTTTAAGGAGAGATATTCTTTGAGAGTGGATTCAACTTCATCCACTCGAACATCCTCAAGCTTCGATTCCCAGTCTCCGATCCGAGATGAAAGTCCACTGGCAGATAAATCTCTGGTTGCTACGGACTCCGGCGACTGTGGAGCATCTTCAAACTCGAACTGTTCACTTGAGCAAGGACGCAACATCTTCTCCAAGGAAATAACCGCCTAACAGCTGGAGAAAATGGGTTTGATCAAACAAACAAAAAAATGATGCGATTACATTTAAACCGTAATGGTAGTCAGTTATTGAACAGTTACAATACAATAAAACAGAAATGGAAATCCACAAACAAGTATCGATTACAGCAATGATCCTCATAAACGAGTGAGCCCAAAACGAGAAGAAAACAAAATGGAAAGAGGCAAAATCTCTTGGTGGAGCAAATAGTAAGTTATAGGAGGAAATTAACGCCAACAACAATAAGACAAGGCGTATTAAAAGAGAAAAAGAAAAGAAAAGTTCACACGGAATGAAAACAGCGAGACCAAAGAAGAAAGCAGAGCAGAGGTTTTGGACTTGCCAAAAACCAGCAGCGGTGGCCTACACCATGAAAGCTACTTCTCTTGTTTCTTTATTTTCTGGTTTTGTTTTCAATTCATATATCATTTCAGCATTTCCTCTTCAATAAAACAAATTTGGTAAGTTGGTAAAAACTGAAACCAAATACTTTTTTTTAAATAATGGAGCGGTGTTAGAGATCTGACGATATTATAGTGTTTGTTGTTTGCTTAATATGTAAAATTAAAAGTTGTTTTGTATGTGAAGTGATGTAAGCCAATGGTGGTTTTGCAGAGCTGGGGAGCTTAACAGATAGATTCTTTCTCGTCATTTTCAGCCTTTTTTTTTTTCTCTTTCCTTTCTGTATTTTATGAAATTTGGGTGAGGGACTGGTTTCTTTAATAATATTTTTATGGTAATTTTATGATTGGCCACTTTCGTTCATTTTTTTTTATATTTTTCTTCACTAAATTTAAAATAAAAAAAAGTGATCACTTTTTTTTATTTCATTAAAAGATGATTATATTCGTTTTTATTTAATTAAGATATGATCATTTACCATATCGACTTTTAAATGTTAGTGATTAATTTTAACTGCTATTAGAGAGAAAATAAATAAAAAGGAACATGATCGCATCTTAATGAAATAAAAATAAAAATAATCAATATTATGTTTTTTGAATTTAGAGAGAAAAATGTACAAAACTAAAATGAAAGTGATCAAACTTATAATTTGTCCTATATTTTTTCAATTAAATAATGATATAATATTTATTATTGGTGATATATATTATCTTTTAAATGATTAACTTAAATTAAAATTAATATAATATAAATAATAAAATTAAATTTGTAATATATTAATTTTATTAATTATAATGTGAATTTTTTTTATTAAATGTTATAAAGTATTTAATTAATCTCTTTTAATAGGGCTGAGTAACGAAATCGAGAAAACTGAAAAATCGACACGAACCGAGTAAAACGGTTCGGTTCGGTTCGGTTTGGCTTTAAACGGTTCGGTTTTCGGTTCGGTTTAAAGGCTTCATTTTTTTGATTCGGTTCGGTTCGGGTTTTCCATATGGAACCCATTTGTTCCATATTGAACCGAATAGGTAATTTTTGTAAAAAAAATTATAGTTTCAAGTGATTTTTTCATTGAAAAACCGAAAAACCGAATCGAACCGAAAAAACCCAAACCGTTAAAAAAACCGAACTGAACCGATAAAAACCGGTTTTCGGTTTTTTCGTTTTTTTAACTATTGGTTTCGGTTTCGTTTAAATATTGAAAACCGTTTATTTCGTTCGGTTCAATTTTGGTAAAAACCGAACCGAACCGAATGCACCCCTAATAGACTCTCGAATAGTGACCTAATTTAAGGGTGAAAAAAAAAGATATGTAAAATTAGCCCTAATATTTATCAAAATGATATTTTTCTCCCTATTCTATTTTTGGAGTAATTTGACCTTCTAATGTTTCATTTTAAGTAAAAGGACCATCTAAAAATTGACAAAATAATCACTTATCCCTTTTTTCCGAGCCATTTTAGCTCTCAACGTTTCATTTTAGGTTAAAAAGACTCTATTTTGAAACGTTAATCGTGTGTTAACTTATACTTTTATCTATAGAGACAGTTTTTTTATCTCAAAATAAAATGTTTGAGTCAAAATATACTAAAAATAAATACGGGACAAAATATTCATTTTGATCAATATTGAGGACTATTTTAGCGTTATGCCACAGAAAAATTATGCATGAACTACTTCAGCTAACATAAATAGAACTGGAGCACACTAGCACTGCATATTTTCAAGGTTTTGCTTCCTTGTTACTGCTGGTCACCGCATATGTTAGTTAAATAGTGCAGATTAGTATTGCTTTGAAAAATGAATTTAAAAATGTTGTATTTTTAAAAATATAATTAAAATTTAATTATTTAAGATTATTGTTAAAAAGTGGTTTTAGAAAGATAAAATCTTATTTTAAATATTATATTATAAATTAAAATATATATTTGAGGATAAAAATATAATTTCATTCAAAAGTGTTTTTTTGGGTAAAAATTAAAAATTTGAACTTATAATAAGGTCAAATTAAAATTATTTTTCTGATCATGATTTTAAATTAATTTTTAAGTATTTAATATTATTGATGAGATAGGAAATCACTTTTCCATAATTAAGAGCATTCTCAAACTGGCATTGATGTATGATAAAAGAAGAAGCGTCATTTTATAAAATTTCAACTGAATCCTGTGTGTGTTTTCGGCCTTTAACGTTATAAACAACATTTATGAATCTCAGAATTTAGAATTGGATATGTTTTTTATTGGGCTATCAGTTCCAAGTCGGTGGTGTAAATGACCCAAAGGGCCTAAAAATTAATCCATCAAAAGAATACTACGGTCAGCCCCCCTCTCCAAATATCCTTTTGTAGCTGTAGAAGAAGCAGCTCTGTGAAACAAGGGAGGGTAAGGCCGTAAGGGGACTGATTCAGACAAAAACTCGGAAACTCGAAGGAAGGAAACTGCTAAGCAGGGGAATTGTGACTGTTTATGATGTTTAAAATTTGAAACCGAGAAAGGTTTTGACTACGGGGAAGAGCAAAAATAAATAAAGAAGAAGAAGCAGGGAGAAGAAAATTTAGAAAAAGTCGAGGCGAAGAGATGCTAGGAAAATGTGGAAGGAAATCGGAGATAGAGAAATGGGTAAAATCCGTCCGAATTCCTTTTCCAGTCAGATCAAATCCAATCGGATATCGAATCTCCAACTCTCCAATAATAAAGACATCGTTTCTCCTCACAGAGGCTCCATCAATTCCCTTCAGGTATTATCTTTTTCAATCTACAGCTCCTTCAGTTACTTGCTTTTTATGATTATAATAAAATTCTACTTTTCTTTCTTTAATTGTATAGAAATTTATGGCTATTTTTGGGTTATCGTGCAAATTAGGTGGATTTGACTGAGGGAAGATATTTGTTATCGGGCGCATCCGATGCATCAGCTGCTGTTTATGATATTCAAAGGCCAACTAACTATGAAGGAAATGGTCTGATTGCCAAACACAAATGTTTGTTTTCAGTCGATAAGCAACACGGAAAGGGACATAAATATGCCATTTCATCGGCCATTTGGTATCCTGTTGACACCGGACTATTCGTTACAGGTTCTTATGACCATTATATCAAAGTTTGGGACACGAATAGCACCCAGGTATTTTGTTTGATTTTTTTCTGTTTGAACTGTGAATACCATTCTGCGGTTTCTTTAATATGATTTGTTTGTTATTATAGGTGGTGATGAATTTTAAAATGCCTGGAAAGGTTTATAGGACTGTGATGTCTCCATTGGCAACATCTCACATGTTGATTGCTGCCGGAACTGAAGATGTGCAAGTTCGCCTTTGTGATATTGCTTCGGGGGCATTTGCTCACACTTTGTCTGGTCACCGTGGTATGCTGAAAGATTGATGGAATTGTTCCATTACATTTCTTTCTCTTATTGAGTGACTCCCATTACATTGTTAACATTTTGTGCTAAGTTTTATATAATTAAGAATGTATCATTTATTGGTTGTCTGAATGCTGTATTTGGCGTCCAGATTATGTGGTTTATATACATCAGTTAGTATGCTGAATTGTTGATATAAATTATAAAAGAAAAACTTCTCCAATCTGACCCTTCTTTTCAGGTCCACTGTGATCAATATATTTTTTTCTTAGCTGGAGTTAGACGAGAAGTTGTCTAATGTATAGGTTCTTTGGCTGCAGGACTATGCTGTGTACATGTAGCGGCTTATCTGATTTTGGACCAGCCCTGCAGCCAGAGAACTATCTTTTACTCTCAATTTTATTTTGGTCTTGCAGCCTAAAAGTATGAACTCTTCTTTTCAATTGCAATTGGATGCATGAGAATAGAGATCTACTGTGTTTGCTACTTCTTCTTCTTCATCTTGAGGGGAGGGAGGCATGCTTATATTTAAAACAGACCATTTTTTGGATATTTCTTTATGGTATAACTAGAAAATACATCTTCCCTTTAACTGGTGAAAAGGGTTTGACCATTTCATCATCTAATGATGAACTCATAAAGCTAGCGGTGCTACAATCTTGATTCTCACTTTTCGCACTTGCTAAATAAATTCGAGGGTACAAGAAATTGTTAACATGAAATGATATGTACTATTGATTTCTGGATGGCAGATGGAGTAATGGCTGTGGAGTGGTCTACTTCCAGTGAGTGGGCCTTGATAACTGGTGGATGTGACGGTGCAATTCGATTTTGGGACATTCGACGTGCTGGGTGTTTTCTTGTTCTGGATCAGTCACAGTCTCAACTCGGATGGCGTCCACCTGTCTTGGCTCGTTCTGCTGCAAATAAGGTATGCTTGTTGTAAGCTTGGGTTTGTTGCATCACATTCTCTTTCTGCTTCTTTATTGTTGCTATTCCAAACTATTTACAAGATCATAACTTACATTTGCAGTTAATATTTTGAATTTGTTGCTAATAGTCATGGATGTAATCTTCTGTTTGTCCAAAACAAGGAGAACTGATTTTTTTTTTTGCTATTTATGTACTATGATAGGAATGATGGCAATTCTAGTAAACTTTTCCTGGAGTGGATTACTATGCTGTAAGACCATCCTGATTCATGTATAAAGGGATAATTGCAGGCTATATAAGTTTAAGAAAATTGGCATTGTCTTATAACTGTTGTCCTGGCATCAGACACATAAATTCGACCCTCCCTCCCTCCGCCACTCATTAGGACAAATGCTACATCTAGTTTTATGGTTTTTTGTCCAAGCTGCATTTTCTCCACTTACACTTTTTCATAAATAGCGCATCATGGTAATTAGATCTTTTATCTTGATAATTTTTTTATATAGTGTAAAACTCTTCCTTTATTTATTTATCTTTTGGCGAGGAGTGCAAAACTCTTCCTTTGGTTTGGATAATGAGTGTAATGATCTTTTTCCTCATGAATTTGTTTCTTTTGTACCTTTTTCAGGTCTCAGTCTCAAAGTCACTGTCAGCAGGCCAAAACTCATTGGGAAAACCACGAGCTCCACAAAAGAAATATGCCAATGGGCATGGAGTGAAACAGTCAACCATTGGTCGAGTGCCAGCTAAGAGTTCTGCACGACAAAGATTACATCCAGGGATGCTTTCCATTCAAGATCGTGCTACTGCTCATTATGGTGCTGTAACTGGTTTAAAAGTAACAGATGATGGCATGTACCTTCTAAGTGCAGGTTGAGTTTTGATTGTTTCCTTATTAGTTATTCCTATCTAAAGTTGTTTTGTATTAGTTGAGGGGCGTTTTGGGAAATCTGCTGTAGTCTATCAGGTAGCTTTAACAAATGGTTACATGTTGTCTCTTAGGTGACTATAGGTATGCAAAAGCAGAAAATTGAGTTAAATATACTCTGTAAATGATGCTGGAATATTAATTGATTCAAAGCTTAGTTAGGTCCATTTGACTGCTAAGTGGGTTTTATCTAGAGTCCACTCTGATTATCCAGAAACTATATGTGAAATTGTTTAATCTTCTTCTTTTGTGTGTTTGTGTGTGTGTGTGTGTGTGTGTCCTTGGCTGGCATTTTAATAATTTTGTTGAAAATGTAAAAGAAAGTTAGGCAATAATCTCTTCAAATTACATAATAATGTTACTTCTCTACATGTCGTGCTTTGTCTTTTGAATTCAGGCTCTGATTCAAGAATAAAGTTGTGGGATCTTGAATCTGGCTACAACACACTTGTAAACTTTGAAATGGTGCGCCTCCAAACAAGCAAGGCAATTCAGTTGGCCATATCTCAGGAAACAGCTCAAGTCTTTGTCCCATGCATGACAGTTGTGAAAGTACAATATTCTTTGTGTCATCAATTTCTTTGATTTTTTGCGAGTATAGTTCATATTTTACAATCCTATTATTCTGCCAACATTTACACCTTAAACGTCCATTGAATTTTGTAGGCATTTGATATCTGGTCAGGTAAAATGTCCCTTGCATTTCATGGTCACTATGAATCTGTTAACTGTTGTTGGTTCAGTTCACAGGATCAGGTATGATATAGCTTCTCTACAACTTTCCCAAGGCTGCTTAATTATAAAGGGTAAATATACATTTTGGTACCTGAACTTGGCTTCAACGGTCCATTCAATTTTGTACTTAAGCCTTTTTTTGGTCCAATTAGGCACATAAACTTGGCTTTTTGGTTCAAATTGGTACTTGAATTTGGTTTCATGGTTCAAATAAGTCATTTAACGTAAGTATCAATTTGGCAAAAATTCCCAAGTTCAATACCAATTTAAACCAAGAAGACAAGTTCGGGTACCAAATTGAACCTTAAAAGATAAGTTCAGGTAGAAAACTTAAGGTACCAAATTGAACCTTAAAAGACAAGTTCAGGTAGCTAATTGAACCAAGAAAAGCCTAGGCACCAAATTGAACATTAAAGCCAAGTTCAGGTACCTAAAGGTGTATTTACCCAACTCTATATTATGGATAAGACATTTGTGAGACATGACACAACTTATTGATCAGATGTTTGTAGGTTATGAACATAAATATGTAATGAGTCGTACCCTAAAATGCTAGTATTTTGGATATACATTTTCCCCATATCTGCAAACAATGGTTGTACTGTTAAAGCAAAAGAGTTGAAATAGTTTTATCAAATCATTATAGGACCAGTCCACTCGAACCTGGCTTTTAATAAATTGCTTAGTAAAAGTAAAGCAAATGCTTAATGCCGATAATTTATGTTTTCATATCATGAAATCTAGTCGGATGTTTTTCATTAAAGACTGCTTTGCTGAACATTTTAAACCTTCCGCCACCTTGACTGGTTGTTCACTGTATTTAGGAACTATACACAGGCGGCAACGATCGACAAATTCTTGTGTGGTCTCCATGCGAACCGATTACAGATGACATGGTACTTTCAAGTTGAAGATTTCATTTTCATTACTTGTTTCATTTGACTGCAATCTTATTTGGCTGTCTTACTGGATTGTTCTAGCTAAACAATTTTAAAAAATGCAGGATGCAGGGCATACTAAAGATCAGGATAATTGGAGTGATTAGAATCTGCCGCTACATCGATTTGTTCCATATCTCGTGCCATCTTTAGCTTCTTTCTACCACTTGTATATATTTGATGTATGTATATACACAGTTCTTTGCTTCTTGTCAATCATTTGTAGTATTTTTTTTCTCTTCGTTTGACCGTCTGTTGTTCTTTAAAGGATATAATATATATAATTAGCTTTTTTTTGGAGGGATCATTGATTGTCCTAAAATTAATAAGGCTAGTAGTAATATATTGCCTAATCACTTGCATAAATATATAATAAACTCGGCCTGCCTTCTTATGTATGTCGTTAGTCAAATTTTCGAGCATTATCCTGCGTGTTAATTTGGGAATCAACATATCAACGGGGGCTCAACCGCTTTATATATTCCAGTCTCTATCTTCTTCATCTCTAAGATTGGTTTGAAATGTGAATAACTTAACGCAGAAAAAGAAGACTTTCTTACACAACTGATTAGTCTTAGTTTTTTTTCCCCGTTTTAGTTTATCTTAATGTAGCCCATATTCAACGCGGCATCAGACGGCGTCTCATCTGAAGATGGAATTTGGAAAATCCATTGTTGCAAAAAGCTTGAAATCTAAGACAGGCAGATCAGCAGAGATGGATCCTAGGATTTGGAGCAAGCTACCACCGGAACTTCTAGAGCACATACTTTCCTTTTTGCCTCTTAAAACGTTCTTGAATTTGAGGTCAACTTGTAAACGTTTCAAGTCTCTTGTATTCTCCCCTTCTTTCATTTCCAAACACTCCTCTGCTTCTCAGTTCTCTTCGTTCTTGTTGCTTTCCCATCCCCAGTGCTATGGCTATTTCCCTCTATATGACACGATCCGTGGGGCTTGGCGCAATTTAGCACTCCCTTTCTCTTTCTTGTCGCCTTCCGCTGCTCAGGTCAATCTCCTTTCATCTTGTAATGGACTTCTCTGCTTCTCTCTTCCAAATTCGTCTTCTTTCCTTGTTTGCAATCTCTTGGCCAAATCTTCCAGAGTTATTGAATTTCCTTTATTCCCCTTCGCCTTTGAGATGCTTACTCTGGTTTCCACGCCGGATGGATATAAACTCTTCATGCTTTGCCCTAAATCCTCATCCAATGATGCTCTTGTGTACGACTCCAAGGATCATTCATGGACACAGCACGATGGTTTTCAGCCGCTCCTCGTCCAAAATTTCCATCAGGAAGGCGCGTCCTTCAATGGGTCTTTGTGTTTCGCTACCGCTGAACCGTATTCCGCAGTGTCCTTTGACTTGGACAAAGGGACATGGGAGACTCTTAACACTGAAATGCCAGGGGAGCTTACCTTCGTGAGGCTAGTGAGCGACACCGACGGAGGGAAACTGTATTTAGTTGGGGGAATAGGAAGGAATGGAATTTCGAGGAGTTTGAGATTGTGGGAATTGGGTAATGGAGGGAGGTGGGTGGAAGTGGAAAGATTGCCAGAACTGATGTGCAGGAAGTTTATGTCTGTTTGTTATCACAACTATGAGCATGTTTATTGCTTCTGGCATCAGGGTATGATCTGTGTGTGCTGCCAGACATGGCCAGAATTTGTATTGCAAGGTTTCAAGGAGAAGTTGGCATTGGATACCCAAGTGTCCTTCACTCCCAGACAAGTGGAGCTGTGGTTTCAGGTGGTTCTCTTTTGTACCTGACTTCTATGCTTTGGCTTGAGTTACTTGTTAACATGAATCAGTCTACGCTGTACAATTTCGGGTGAAAATGGGATATACTCAAATCACCGACCTGCCTTCCGACGTGAAAGTAGTTGTTCTTCTTTCCTTTTGGTCTCTGTTTTGTGTTTTCATCCCTCTAATATTTGTGTAAGTTGATGTTGCCCCGCTCGTGATCCCAGATTAGTGTGATATGTGCAATTAATTTTTACCAAGTGATCTTTGTTTTGAGCAGTTGGATTTAGTTGATTGCATTTTCGGAGTTATGACTGGTATTGATGAATTCGGCCAAACCAGTGTTGTTTAAAATAAATTATTTGGATGTTTCATGTACTCACTGCCATTTGCTTAGACAGCTATGGCATACTTTCATCAAGTCCAAACCCTTTTATCTGTCCTTCTGCTAAAGCAAATGAGGCAGGCCCTTAATTTTTTTTTTTTTTTTGAAAAAAATAATGATAAAAGCAAAAGTTTCTCAATGTCAACGGTTATTAGTTGCCTTAGTATTGCCCTTTTTTAGTTTATTTTCCCATTTAACAAATACATATTTGTCGTTTTAGCTATAAACAAATGCTGGATTTATACAAGTAGGGAAAAATAACGACTCCGGGTAAAGCCGATTCAAAGGTAGATACTTTGAACGAGGAAGACTATTTGTCATTAAAAATATTTTTAGAAAAAATTAATTAAGATTAAAAGTTTTAATACTAATATCAAAATGTATTTTTAAAAACATAAATGATCATTTAAACATAATAATAATAATATGTTTAAACCAACATGGTTGGTTCAAGTGGTAAGTAATTTAATATCGTTTAAGCGGGTCTTGAGTTCAAGTATTTGTGTATGTAGAAAATCTCTGTTGGAGACTCATCCACCACAGCAAGTGTGTGACCCGGATCCGTATGAATTAACCAAAATGAAATCTTGAGAACTGAAAGGCCAAAAAAAATATATATGTTTACATCATATTCAGAATTTTTAATATTATAGCATTTAATATTTAAAGATGGTGATTACCATACCAAACATAGACCAATAGAAATAGTCATTGTCAACAGAAAAGAAACCAATAAAAAATAAATCAAATTTAAAGATAACATGCTGAACCTGAAACTATAATAATAATAAGTTATTACCTCCTCGACTAGGACAAACACCACCAGGGAAAGAACTACCAAGACAGAAGACAATATATAATCAACTAATTTATGCATCCAAAATATCTAATCAAGAGCTTGTGTATATTTTGCGATGGATTAAACTTTTGGGTCAATGGATATTGGCATAAATTTTCACAAGAGGAGTTCTATGTACGTAAACTTGGGCTTGTTGAGCATGATGAGTTGATCCAGTTCTTGGAGAATGCTTGCGAGTACATGAAGGACTAAGTCTGAGGTGTGCGAGAGAAGCGACGAGGGTGTTACATGATCGATTGGGGTAATTTTGTCAAGGCTCGTGGATTCAGACCAAGACATGTGCGCACGGATTCTTGTAGGAGAATCGTACGAAGTGTTGGGCTTGTCCAGAACTATCAGATTTGACTCATTCCTTAGAATGTTCCATAAAGGATAATATTATCTAATAATTAAGGAGATAAATACTTAATTAGGGATAATGTTGTATTTGAATTCAAATGCCTTAGAGATATAATTTTGGATAAGGTAGGATTCAATCTAAGTCGTCGATGTATTTTGATCTAAACCGTCGGATCTTAAAGGCCTCAACTATAAATAGAGAGTTCTTTCCCTCGTTTGTAATCATCAATTTCATTCTTTCAGAGTAATATACTCATACATTTACTCTTACTCTCTCTCTCTAAGTTCCTTTGTTTCAGAGTAATAAACTCGTGCTTTTGAGATCCGTTCAATCTTAGTGGCTTGGATTAGTCCCAGTGGTGTTTTGCTTCAACATTGTTGCCCAACCCTATCGGATTTGTTCGTCGCTTTGTGAGCCACAGACTCACAAAGCCGTGCTTAAGGTCGACTTAGAAGCCATTTCGACCTGAAAATCATCATAAGTGCCGCACGGATCGACTAGCAGAAGTCTAATCCCGTGACAATTTATATTAGTTTATTGGACCCTCGCCTCCAAATTTAAAGCAAAATGGTGATTAAACTCCAAAACTAAGTTTTCAAACGTTACGCCCCCTATACGATATTTGCTATGCTAACTTAAAGTAGTTCACGAGAAGCCCAGCCAATAACACCAATAATTTATTATAATGTGTAAAGATTACAAAATGTAAACACCTTGTGAAAGTAAGTGATTTCCATTTTTAAATTTAGGTAGTAAGATTTTATGCTAAGATGAATTTTTAAAAAATTATGAAATTATAAAATGGGTGAACTTTTAAAAGTTTGTGAAGAATAAATTTATAAAATTTTAGAAATAAAAACACATTATTAATAAATAAATAAATAACATAATAAAAAAAATTATTAGAGGACGAATATCGTCCATCTCTGCTTACATGACATGTAAGTCGACACCTTTCCCGCAGAATCTGGAAGCTTAAAAGAAGCCACCAGTTTTGCAGATGGATACAAATCTGTGATGATGAAGGTTGCCAAGATCAGCTCAACAGATGGAACGAATATTAGCAATAATTTACATAATTGGCCCATAAAAGAGCCATCCATAAATAGGGATGGGCATGAGACTCAAATCTGACGGTTGAATCGGGTCGGATTTTAAAAAAAAATAAGGTTTAGATCGAGTTTGAGTTTAGGGTGAAAAATATCCGACAAGATCCGAAAAATATATAATTTTACTTTATATGTTTAGGAATAATTATAATAATATTCATATATATATATATATATATATATATATATTTCAATTAAGTCACTATTTTTATTGAATAAAAATAATTTTTTATTAGTTCGAGTCGAGTCAGGTCAGGTCTGTTTTCTAAATTATATATCGGGTCGGGTCGGGTAGATGAAACCTTATTTTTTCGAGTCGAGTCTTGGGTAGAGGCTCCCTTGTTCTCGGGTCTGGTGGACCAAAAACCCAACCAGACCCATGCCCATCCCTATCTATAAAG